ACTGGGCTGTGCTCCCTGGCTGGCTGTTTCCTCTTAGCCTCCCTTTCTTCTCAGCCGGATTAATTTGTAAACAATATTATCCTTCCCACTTATCCATTCAATAAGTATTTATCTATTTAAATATTTAATTTTGGGCAAGCAAGGCGGCTCTTGCCTGTAACCCCACACTGTGGAAGGCCAAGTTGGGAGGATCACTTGAGGCCAAGAGTTTAAGACCAGCCTGCGAAACATAGGGAGATCCTGTCTGTAAAAAAATGAAAAAAATTAGCCGAGCATAGTGGCGCGTGCCTTTAGTCCCAGCTACTCGGGAGGCTGAGGCTGGAGGATCATATGAGCCCAGGAGACTGAGGCTGAACTGAGCTATGAACGCACCACTGCACTCCAGCCTGGGTGACAGAGTGAGACACTGTCTCAAATATGTATGTATTTAATTTTATTAGTCAAATAGGTAGCAAATACTTAAGAGTGACAGCTATGTGACAGGCACTGTTCTGTGCACTGGTTATACAGCAATGGAAAAAAAAAACTGTCAAGAACGGGGGAAAAAACACTGATTTTTTTTCACTAGTGTGAAACTTTTAAAAAATTGTATTGTTTTAGGCGGGGCGTGGTGGCTCACGCCTGTAATCCCAACACCCTGGGAGGCCGAGGCAGGTGGATCACGAGGTCAGGAGATCAAGACCATCCTGGCTAACATGGTGAAACCCCGGCTCTACTAAAAATACAAAAAAATTAGCCGGGTGTGGTGGCGGGCGCCTGTAGTCCCAGCTGCTCGGGAGGCTGAAGCAGGTGAATGGGGTGAACCCGGGCATCTGTTCAAAAAAAAAAAAAAAATTGAAATGTTTTAAAATGTGTTACTACTTGAAACTGGTAATTTGACTTTACACCAAACTCCTACCAAGTGGTTCGCAAATGTTAGAAGATGAAAAATCTGGCAGGGTGCGGTGGCTCACGCTTGTAATCCCACCACTTTGGGAGGTTGAGGTGGATGGATCATGAGGTCAGGAGTTCAAGACCGGCCTGGCCAACATGGTGAAACCCCATCTCTACTAAAAATGTAAAAATTAGCTGGGTGTGGTGGCCCATGCCTGTTATCTCAGCTACTCTAAAGGCTGAGGTAGAAGAATCGCTTGAAACTGGGAGGTGGAGTTTGCAGTGAGCTGAGATCGTGCCATTGCACTTCAGCCCAGGCAACAAGAGCAAAACTCTGTTTCAAAAAGAAAAAAAAAAAGAGAAAAGAAGAAAGAAAAATCCCAGATCATGTTTCCAGGAAGGGAAGAGATGGGCTAGGTGTTGGAGCAGGACCCAACAGGATGTCTTGGGGAGGATGCTCCCTGGAGCATGCCTGGAGAGCCCCTGCCAGCTTCCTGAATCTCCCCTTCCAAATTCCATTTCTCCCAGACTCTGAACACACCTGGATCTCTGGACTCAGTTAGCAGTGCTGCATCTGAGATGGGCAATAAACAGGCAGGTTTGGATGAAAACTGCAGGAGGGTGTTAAAGGAACTGGGCTGCTTGATCCGGAGAAGAGGGGCCTAGGATGGGAGGGGGAGCAAAATTGGTCCCTGTCTTTCCTACGAAATTGGCTCACTAAGGGCTTGGAGAAAGATGTGGGAGTCACACCCAGGTCCAGGTACAGGAAGAGCCTTCTCACCCAGACCTGCTGCCCTGGGAGGGGGCTGGCCCTCCTGAGGCTAGGCTGATAGTCGGGTGACTCCTGGCAGGAGAATCATGGACCCAGAGGGGTAGAAAACCTAAAGCACACTCACCAGAACCCCTGGGTAACATTTTATTCTACTTGCTTTTTTACGTAACTATACATCTATCCATTAATCCATTTTATTTTTATATGCATTTCAGAGTGAATTGCAGATGTCAGTATACTTCACCCCTAAGACCTTCTGTATGAGTAGCATTAAGTACAGTTCAGTATTTGTTTACAGTTTTTTAAGGTAAAATTTATATCCAGTAGGCCTGGCGCAGTGGCTCACACCTGTAATCCCAACACTTTGGGAGGCTGAAGCAGGCGGATCACATGAGGCTAGGAGTTCAAGACTAGCCTGGCCAACATGGCAAAACTCCGTCTCTACTGAAAATACAAAAATTAGCCAGGCATGGTGGAGGGCACCTGTAATCCCAGCTACTCAGGTGGCTGAGGCATGAGAATTGCTTGAACCCGGGAGGCAGACGTAGAAGTGAGTGGAGATTGCACCACTGCACTCCAGCCTGGGCGACAGAGACTTTGTCTCAAATAAAGTGTATATCCAGTGAAACGCACAAATCTTAAGGGTACCGTTTGATGAATTTTAATAAATGCATAAACCTGTATAACCCAAGCCACTGTATCAAAATATAAAACCATCAACCTATAGTTTCCTATGCCCCTTCTGTCAATCCCTATTCCCACTCCTCCCACAATGGCCACCACTGTTTTTAGTTTTATCTACCATATATTAATATTGCCTGTACTAGAACTTCAAATAAATGGAATGGTACGATGTGTATTCTTTTTTTTTTTGAGATGAAGTCTCGCTCTTGTCCCCCAGGCTGGAGTGCGATGGCACAATCTCGGCTCACTGCAACCTCTGCCTCCTGGGTTCAAGCAATTCTCTTGCCTCAGCCTCCCACGTAGCTGGGATTACAGGTGCCTGCCACCATGCCCAGTTAATTTTTGTATTTTTAGTAGAGACAGAGTTTCACCATGTTAGCCAGGCTGGTCTTGAACTCCTGACCTCAGGTGATCCACCCGCCTCGGCCTCCCAAAGGGCTGGGATTACAGGCATGAGCCACCGTGCCTGGCCAATTTGTGCCCGGTCAATGTGTATTCTTTTGTGTAAGACTCCTTTTACTCAATGTAATGTTTTTGAGATACTTTCATACTGTTGCATTTATGAGTCCTTTGTTCTATTTTATTGCTAAGTAGTGTTCAATTGCATGAATGTAAGTTTATTCTAACCTTTTTATCATTATGAAATGTCTCTATTTGTGACAGTACAGTTTGTCTTAAAGTTTGCTCTATGTTCTCTGATATTAATATAGCCATTCCAGTCATTCTCTGATTACCCGTGGCCTACTGTATCTTTCTCCATCCATTTACTTTCACCTAAATGTTTTTATATTTAAAGTATGTCTCTAATCAGACTGACTCCTGAGGGTTTGTTTTTTTCCCCCCACAATTCTAGCAAGATTTGATAGCCTCTTTTTACCAAATAGGGTAAGATATTCTAGGCTTATCTTGTATTTTTTTTTCCTGTCTGAGACCTGAAAACAGTCATTTCTTCAGGATCCTTCCTTCATTTCTTGAAAAAAGTGGTATTTAGAGACTATAATCTGTGTGCTAGGGGTATTGTTGCTACCAAGTTAATCACTGTTTGAAGGCCTTTTCAGTGAGCATGACTTTTTGGCAGGGTCTAATTTTTTTGCATGTGATGTCTAATTGTTCCAATACTATTATTTGTTGAAAAGACTATCCCTTCTCCTTTGGATTGTCTTTGCTCCTTTGTCAAAGATCAGTTGTCTATATTTGTGTGAATTTTTTCAAGAGCTGTGTATTCTGTTCCATTGGTATATGTCTATTCTTCCATCAGTATCACACTGTCTTGATTAGTGTAGCTTTATGTTAAGTCTTGAAGTTGGGTAGCATCAGTCCTTTCAACTTTCATTCTCCCTCCACATCAAAATGTTTTGCCCATAGTGTTTCTACTATCTTATGTGTGTCTCATCGCAACCTGGACGCTGACAATGGCTTTCCAGACTTTCTCTTTTTTTTTTTTTTTTGACAGGGAGTCTCACTCTGTTGCCCAGGCTGGAGTGCAGTGGCACAATCTCAGTTCACTGCAGCCTCCACCTCCTGGGTTCAAGCGATTTTCCTGCCTTAGTCCTTAGCCCCCAGAGTAGCTGGGATTACAAACGCGTGCCACTACGCTTGGATAATTTTTGTATTTTTTAGTAGAGACAGGGTTTCACCATGTTGGCCAGGCTTGTCTGTAACTCCTGACCTTAAGTGATCTGCCTGCCTCAGCCTCCCAAAGTGCTGGGAATACAAGTGTAAGCCACTGCACCCAGCCACTCTCCAGACCTTCTAAAAGCTGCCATCAGAATAATTCTGCCGGAAAAGCTGATTTGCCTCAGCTCCTTTACATTCTACTTCACACTCTATATTCTGGGGAAAAAAACTCTTCCCCTTATTTACGATGACTTATTCTCCTACTGATATGGTTTGGATATTTGTCCCCACCAAATCTCATATTGAAACGTAATCTCCAGTGTTAGAGGTGGGGCCTGGTGGGAGGTGTTTGGATCATAGGGATGGATCCCTCATGAATGTCTTAGCACCATCCCCTTGGTGATGAGTGAGTTCTTACTCTAAGTTCACATAAGATCTGCTTGGTTAAAAGTGTGTGGTACTTCTCTTTCTCACTTACTCTCTTGCTCCCTCTCTTGCTATGTGACATGCTGTTCATCTTTGCCTGATGCAAAGCTCCCTGAGGCTCTCATCAGAAGCAGATGTGGCACACACAGCCTACAGAACCAAACCATGAGCCAAAATGAACATATTTTCTCTACAAATCACCCAACTTTAGGTATTTATTTATAGCAATGCAAGAATTGACTAATACATCTACCTCTAGGTTTTTGTCCAAGCTTCCCAACTGATATGGACCTACCTGACTTCATCTGTCCATGCCACCCAATCCCTCCCTTCTTCAAGTGGCATCATAAAGCCACATTCTCCAGCAAGATTCTAAAATTGGTCCAGTTGTATCCTAGTAACCTCCAATGTTATTTCTTAACCTCCACCCCTTTCAGAATACCACTACATTTTGCAATGAATTGTCTGCCTCGTTAGACAGTAATTCCCCCAAACTCCTTTGTACAATGCTTTGAACTCAATGAGCACTTATTATGAACCTGTGAACAAATTAACCATATGTAGAATACATATACCCAGATTCCAACAAGGGTTTACTAGGAAGACAGAGGAAAAAAAACACAATAACTTTGTTCCACAATTCATTTACTGAATTGGGGCAGGTGATTTAACAATGGATTAGGAGATAAGGCTGGGAGAGAAGAGTTATTGCTTCCCCTCCCAGGAGCCAGTTGTGTCACGGATGCCTGTAAATGTTCCAAAATAGCCATCTGTCGTTGGGCGAGCTGGGTCTGAAGCTGGAGGTTGGCATACATACATTCCAGGAGTCCTAGGCATTCCTTGGGCTTGTGATCAACTCCAGAAGGAAAAGCAATGGAGGTGCAAGGAAACAAAGGAGAGAGATTTGGTAATTGTACTGAGGTTAGAAGGACCCTAATAAAATGACCTCTCCAATCTTTCCAGGCACAACCCACCCCAGACATACCTTTGCCCAGCTGTCACCTCCCAGTGAGGCATACCTGGCTATCCTATTTTAATTTGAAATCAGTCATTGGAACTTATACCTCTCTCCCTTGTTTTACTTTTCCCATAATATTTATGGTCATATTGCATATTTTATAATTACTTAATTTTTGTCTAAGTTCCTCTTCTAGAATGTAAGCTCCAGGAAGGCAAGGATTTTTATCTGATTGATTCACTACTTTAACCCAGCACCTAGAAAAATGCCCGGCGTATAACAAATATTTGATAAGTGAATGAAATGGTCTGGGAGGGAGTCCTAACTTCCCTAGAGCTCATGGGATACCTCAGCCTCCTCTGTTACCTGACTCTGTTACCTGACATAGTGTCTCACTGACCTGAAGTTCCCTAACTTCAACCATTCTTGCTGCATCGGTCCATTCTTTTTTTTTTTTTTTTGGAGACGGAGTTTCACTTGTCACCCAGGCTGGAGTACAATGGTACGACCTCGGCTCACTGCAACCTCCACCTCCTGGGTTCAAGCAATTCTCCTGCCTCAACTTCCTGAGTAGCTGGGATTACAGGCATGTGCCACCATGTCCGGCTAATTTTTGTATCATTAGTAGAGATGAGGGTTCACCATGTTGCGCACGCTGGTCTTGAACTCCTGACCTCAGGTGATCTGCCCGCCCTGGCCTTCCAAAGTGCTGGTATTACAAGCGTGAGCCACTGCACCTGGCCAGTCCATTCTTTTTCTAATAATTTTCTTTTTCTTTTCTTTTTTTTTTTTTTCAATGGAGCCTTGCTCCGTCTCCCAGGCTGTAGTGCAGCAGCACAATCCCAGCTCACTGCAACTTCTACCTCCCGGTTCAAGCAATTCTCCTGCCTCAGTCTCCCAAGTAGCTGGGATTACAGGCAGGTGCCACCATGCCCAGCTAATTTTTGTATTTTTAGTAGAGACGGGGTTTCGCCATGTTGGTGAGGCTGGTCTCAAACTCCTGACCTCAGGTGATCTGCCCGCCTCGGCCTCCCAAAGTGCTGGGATTACAGGCATGAGCCACCACGCCCCGCCAGTCCATTCTTTTTTTTTTTTTTTTCTGAGACGGAGTTTCACTCTTGTTGCCCAGGCAGGAGTACAATGGCCCAGTCTTGCCTCACTGCAACCTCCGCCTCCCGGGTTCAAGTGATTCTCCTGCCTCAGCCTCCCGAGTAACTGAGATGTCAGGCATCCGCCACCACACCCAGCTAATTTTTGTATTTTTAGTAGAGATGAGGTTTCACCATGTCGGTCAGGCTGGTCTCGAACTCCTGACCTCAGGCAATCCACCTGCCTCAGCCTCCCAAAGTGCTGGGATTACAGGCGTGAGCCATTGTGCCCAGCTACTTTTTGGTAATTATATTATCTGCTGTTTGTATTTTTATCAGTCTTGACTTCTTTGTTGGACTCTGAGGTCCTCAAAAACAGGGGTTATGACTATCTAGTTAGTGCCCTGTTTAGTTCCCCATAGCTATGCCAAATACCCACTGACCTCCCCAGGGGAAGATGAATGATGAAAATTCAAAGAACCTGAGACTGAGCTAATAGTTTCCTTCTCTGGCCACCGTTTTTTAAAATTTTACCTTCCCAAGTGAACAGGGGTAAACCTGGCCATCTTTTAACTAAAATTACCAGTAAGCAATGAGGGGTTCACTTCACTCCTGCCTAGTCTAGCAAAGGTGCTAACAAGCAAGGAAACAATACAAGTTGGTAGAACTGGGATGATAATGAAATCAATGAAACTAAATAATCAACAAGCTACCATGGAAAAATCTATAGATGTCTAACATAGATTTGGCTCTTGATCAATAGGTGACAGCTCAAGCCACCTCCTCCATGCAACCCCTCCCCCTGCTGAGTCCATTAGAAAACCCTCCCTACATACTTACCTGAGGGCAGCTTTGTTGTCTGGATGTTCAGAAAAGTGGCTGGTGGGGAACTTGCTTGAAGATTAATATAGCTGGGGGAGGGTTTTGCTCTACAAAGAGGCACAGCATTAGCTTCCTCTTTGGCTGGAACTAAATCAGAGGTAACTAAATCAGAGCTCATTCCAACAAGGGACAGCCATTCTAATTAGATCCCTGCACCTGGTCCATGAAAGCAGGTGCTCAGGCCCTGCCTTGAATATGTTGCATATCAGAAAGACACATACGACAAAAAGGAAATCATAATAGGATTAAGAGAAACCAAGCAGGAGTGGGATAAGCTAAAATCTAATTTGTTTACAAGTTCTTACTGATACACACTACATGTTTGCGACTATACTAAATCCTAGCGAGTACATGAGATATGTTAAGACGTGGTTTCTTAGATGCTTATTATCTAATTAGGGAGACAAATCGCAGGTGAAACAGTGATCTAACAAGACGAGGACATAAACAATGAGTCTGATAGTCTGGGGTGAAAATAAAAGCCTTTTATCTGTTAGTTATACTATGTGATTACATGTAAAGGTGAATTTTTTTTTTGTTTTTTTGGTTTTTTTTTGAGACGGAGTCCTGCTCTGTCGCCCAGGCTGGAGTTCAGTGGCGCAATCTCGGCTCACTGCAAGCTCTGCCTCGGGTTCATGCCATTCTCCTGCCTCAGCCTCCCAAGTAGCTGGGACTACAGGCGCCCGCCACCATGTCCAGCTAATTTTTTTGTATTTTTAGTAGAGACAGGGTTTCACCGTGTTAACCAGGATGGTCTCGATCTCTTGACCTCGTGATCCGCCCGTCTCGGCCTCCCAAAGTGCTGGGGGATTACAGGTGTGAGCCACTGCGCCCGGCCAAGGTGAATGTTTTTTAAAAGGGAGAAGAGATCAATATGAGTAGTGAGAGAACTCTACCTGCCTTCTGGTAGAGGATATTCACTAAATCTTAAAAACTTGAAGTGGCTGGGCACGGTGGCTCATGCTTGTAATCCCAGCACTTTGGGAGGCCAAGGCGGGCAGATCAGCTGAGGTCAGGAGTTCAAAAAGTAGCCTGACCAACATGGTAAAACTCCATCTCTCCTAAAAATACAAAATTAGCCAGGCGTGGTGGTGGGTGCCTATAATCCCAGCTACTTGGGAGGCTGAGGCAGGAGAATCGCTTGAACTCAGGAGGGAGAGATTGCAGCGAGCCAAGACGCCACTGCACTCCAGCCTGGGCAACAAGAGTGAAATTCTTTCTCAAAAAAAACAAAACAACAACAACAAAAAGCTTGAGAAGCCAGGCTATACTGGTAAGACCACAATCAAGCCCCTCTCCCTAACAAGGATTGGCCTGTGACCCAATACAGGCCAATCATGGTATTCCCATTCCCCTTGGCAACTGTGACTGAGCCAAGGGAGTAGGCACATGAGGTAAGTTGGGCCAGAGTCATTCCCTGGGATCAATATATGGATTCCGTATCTAAGAAATTTACTTTCTTCTGATCTCCTATTCTGAGAAAATGTATGGTTGGGCCCAGTGAAAGCTATATGGCTACTACACCATGAGAAGTGGATAAAAGCAAGAGATCAGAGACAAGAAAAAGCATAGGAGATAGATGGATACACAGACACCAAGAGGCACTGAATCTCCAGTTTTAGTCCCTGAGGCCCTGGTTTTTGCCACTCTTCTTCCCATTATTCTGTGAGCTACTTCAGCATCTCTCCCAACTGCACAACCCCTGAATTGCCTTTTTGACTTAAAGAAGTTTGAGTACAACTCAACTCTCATATTAACATAATCACATCTGGACATATTGAATCTGAGGTGAGAGTAGGAAATGCCAATAGAACTGCCTAGAAAAACAGCCAGAGAGCTGGCACCGGAGCTCAAGTGAAAGGTCAAACTGCCAGGCCAGCCCCAAAAAGAGGATAAAGAAGCTGCAAAAATACATTAGCTCTCCAAGCTAAAAAACAGAGAGAGAAAAACTGAACCTTCAAAGAACTCCTCCTCAAGAGTCTAGAAGATGAAAAGGAAGTGGCAAAGTAGACAAGGGCAATGGATGGAAAGTCAGACAGCTGGAACTAGGTAAGAGTTAAAAAGGCAAGACAGTAGGGAGATAATAATTCACTGTTATAATGAAATCAAGAAAGGACGGAAGAACAATTCATTTTCATTCACACACATAAGAGACAGCTAAGTGCCTGCTATGTGTCAGTCACTGTGGATACCACAGTTTGCTAAACAGAAGTGGTCACTACTCTGCTGGAACTGACAGTCTTGCTGTGCAGACAGTCATTAGGTGATCAAGCACACACACTATTACACTTCAGTAAGTGCTATGAAAGCAACTGACCTAGTCTGTAGAGCTGGAAAACATGTCTTGAGGGAGTGATATCTCAGCTGGGATCTGAAGGATAAAGAAGGGCCTCTTCATAAAAAACAAGCCTGGTGGCAGAAGTGTGAAAAGTAGGTTGTATGAAGAAAGATGTCTTATTCTTGTTCTTTACTCAGAGGGCAACAGAAGGAATGGCCTGGTAAGAGGAAGAAGTGCTTATATGTGGGTGCAAGGGTGAGATGCTTTCTGTCTGGAAGGTCACTGAGCCTATGAAAACTGAAATCTGTTCTCTGTCAGTCACTCTTGGTGAGGAAAATATATTTTATTGGTTTTGCTATTTTTCTTTTGCACTGGGTTACTGGGTTTGTGGATTTTCCAAGCTCTACTGGTAGGTCATCCATCTTCTTTTCCCTCCTGCTCCAGAGTCATCAGCTCATTTGATGGTTTGTACAGAATGTGGTAAGGAGACAGAAGCTGAAACTCAGGTCTCAAGATTCTTCTCAATAATGTGTTAATTTCCATGCAAAATATGTTAATTCCCATGCAAATGCACTTCAAAATAATTTGAGTCCTTCCTAGACATATGAGAATGCATTTTGTTTTTTTTGGAGACGGAGTCTTGCTCTGTCGCCCAGGGTGGAGTGCAGTGGTGTGATCTTGGCTCACTGCAAGCTCCGCCTCTCAGGTTCATGCCATTCTCCTGCCTCAGCCTCCTGAGTAGCTGGGACTACAGGTGCCCTCCACAACGCCCGGCTAATTTTTTGTATTTTTAGTAGAAACGGGGTTTCACCGTGTTAGCCAGGATGGTCTCGATCTCCTGACCTTGTGATCCGCCCGCCTCAGCCTTCCAAAGTGCTGGGATTACAGGCGTGAGCCACTGTGCCCGGCCGAGAATGCATTTTATACTGGGTTATAAGATTTGAAGAATGCTTTACACATTTTTACACAAGGTGGCATGAGAAATTAAAAATTGTTTTTAATTTTAAAAAAAGAGACTGCTTTACATACACTCTATACTAAAGGAGCTGTATTTCTGACAACGTATGACAGAGGATGAGGGTGGAGAGAGGCCAAAGGAGGCAGAACAGAGGATATGATAATAAAAGGTGCTTTACGTACATTCTCTTATATGTTTCTCACGATGACCCTTAAAGTAGAGTCATTGTGGATACCACAGTCTGCTAAACAGATGTGGTCACTACTCTCCTGGAACTGATAGTCTTGCAGTGTAGACAGTCATTAGGTGATCAAGCACACCCACTATTACATTTCAGTAAGTGCTATGAGAGTCTTGTGGAACTGGGGAATGTGACCTGAGGAATGTAGATAAAGTGGGTAGCTTTACCTACATTTTACTTGAGGAAACTTAAGTCAGGAAATTTGCTCAAGATTCCACAGTTAATATGTGTGAATGAGTAATGTTTTTTAGTTAGGCCTAGCTTTATACCCTTAGCCCATCCCTTAGTAGCAGTAAATTTAAATGTTTCAATCTGTTGTGGGGTTAACAGTATTTTCTAGTAGAATTGTGAGCATTAAATAAGTGGTAAACTGGCTGGGCCCGATGGCTCACGCCTGTAATCCCAAGACTTTGGGAGGCCAAAGTGGGTCGATCACCTGAGGCCAGGAGTTCAAGACCTGGCATACCCCCATCTGTACTAAAAATACAAAAATTAGCCAGGCTTGGCGGCATACACCTGTAATCCCAGCTACTTGGGTGTCTGAGGCACAAGAATCACTTGAATCTAGGAGGCAGAGGTTGCAGTGATCCTAAGTAGATAAACTGCTTAAGAGGGTCTGGCAAGGCTGGGCGTGATGGCTCAAGCCTGTAATCCCAGCACTTTGGGAAGCCCAGACAGGTGGATCACGAGGTCAGGAGATCGAGACCATCCTGGCTAACACGGTGAAACTCCGTCTCTACTAAAAAAAAAAAAATACAAAAAAACTAGCCTGGCGAGGTGGCGGGCGCCTGTAGTCCCAGCTACTCGGGAGGCTGAGGCAGGAGAATGGCATGAACCTGGGAGGCGGAGCTGGCAGTGAGCTGAGATCCGGCCACTGCACTCCAGCCTGGGCGACAGAGCGAGACTCCGTCTCAAAAAACAAAAACAAAAACAAAAACAAAAAAAACAGGGTCTGGCAAATAGCAGCTGGAATTAAATTTGGTCCTGTAGACTCCAAAGTCATGCTCTTTACCACTGCACTACATACTCTGTGAAAAGAGCTAGTTAATTTATGTCCAAGCTGGGGCCGGGCACGGTGGCTCACGCCTGTAATCCCAGCACTTTGGGAGGCCAAAGCCGGCAGATCACCTGAGCTCGGGAGTTGGAAACCAGCCTGACCAACATGGAGAAACCCCATCTCTACTAAAAATACAAAATTAGCTGGGCGTGGGGGCACATGCCTGTAATCCCAGCTACTCGGGAGGCTGAGGCAGGAGAATTGCTTGAATCCGGGAGGCGGAGATTGCGGTGAGCCAAGATCATGCCACTGCACTCCAGCCTGGACAATAAGAGCAAAACTCCGTATTAAAAAAAAAAAAATTATGTCCAAGCTATGGAATAGTAGGTCTTTCAGATAATGTATTCCACCTATAGTTAAGTGGATAGGCTCTGGAGTCAGAAGGCCTCAGGCATTTCCCTGGCCACCAATGGAACTGTCCCACTATAACTCAGTCTCTGTTCACTCTAGCTAACACCATGTCTTCTAAGATCCTGTACACAATCTTGTTCTAAGTATTAAGAGGAGATACAAAGGAAGAATAATAAATTCATTTAACAAATAATTACTGAGCATCTACTATTTAACAGATCCAGTTCTAGGTTCTGGGAATACAGCAATGCTCCCAATTTAATGGGGAATGCAAAGGAGGTCTTGCTTTTTAAGGGAGGGGAAGCAGGACCTCCAACACACACCTTTTCTGTTAGGATGACTAGTGTGCTGCTCCATCTGAACACCAACAGGTGTGGTGCCTGGGAAAGAATCATAGCATCAGATGATCAACAATCCATGCTAGTATTTTCACTATGACAATTTCCTAAGTTGTCTCCAGCAGATCTCAGGCTGTTCCCGTCTGCGGAGGAAAAAGTAGGAAACTCTATTTCATGGCCAAACGCGTGACTGTTCTCCTTCACTAGTTTGGAAAACAGTTATTTCTATACCAGTGCTTCCTTTTTTTTTCTGGACAAAACAGTAATTTAACCAAAGCCAAACCTTAAACCTCTCTGATGAACGGGCAATTACTTTCCGTGTTCTCACCATGTTTTAATTTCCACGGTATGATGAGTCCTTCTCCTATCCCGAATGGTAATTTTAAAACTCTGGCTCCCCATCATCTCTAACTAAGACTGAGGACAGCGGGAGAGGGATGGATGTCGGGAAATAAAATCTCAAAGCACCACAGGGAATACTTTTTTTTTTTTTTTTTTGAGATGAAGTCTCGCTCTGTCGCCAGGCTGAAGTGCAGTGCGCGATCTAAGCTCACTGCAACCTCCGTCTCCAGGGTTAAAGCGATTCTCCTGCCTCAGCCCCCCGAGTAGCTGGGATTATAGGCGCGCGCCACCACGCCCGGCTAATTTTTGTATTTTTATTAGAGACGGGGTTTCACCACATCGGCCACGCTGGTCTCGAACTCCTGACCTCAGGTGATCCACCCGCCTCGGCCTTCCAAAGTGCTGGGATTACAGGCGTGAGCCACAGCGCCCGGCGGAAATACTTGGGAAAATATTTTAGATAGGATAACTTAAGGAAACGCAAGCCATCACCCTCCGGTACTGCTCACAGCCTCACTGAAAGCATTTCCTAAGAAGGGAAAAGTCCACACACAGCCATTAGTCCAGATGCGATAAACCACAACTCCCAGTGTGCCCGGAAAAAGGCTGCCCAGTCCGGCACTGTAAGACTACAACTCCCACTTCACCCAGGGCCAAGCCGGCCAGGTCTTCCCCCATCTGCTGGCCGGAGTCCCGCCTCTCTAGTCCACCTATTGCTAAGGCTAGAACAAAAGAGTGGAAACTGTCAAGCCTTTCTTAGCCTTCACGGTCGGATAGGAGCCGAGTCGCAATACACAGTTTAACGACCTCACCTGCGGTGTTAACCGAAAGCCGCAACCCCAGCACCCAACCCTAGAGTTGACACACATGCGTAGTGGCGTGCCGGCCAACTGCCAGAGCCTTGGCGCCTGCGCCGACGTTAGCGTTGCACGCGGCCGGGAGCGGCCACCCTATTGCGCAAGCGCCTGTGCCCTCCCAGCGCCTTCGTCGTGCTCTCTCTGCCTAACTTGTCTGGTCGTTCTTGCGTAGAGGGCGGGACTCAGGATGTCAATTGGTCTGTTTTTGTGCCGATCAATGAGATGGGTGCGGTGATTGGTGACTGCCTTGAGAGTAGCGAGTTCAGGTGTAAGTCCTGAGAAGGCAGCGTTTTCTGGGTTTCCGTCTGGTTCTCTCTCTCCAGAAGATTCTGCCGGTTCCCCCAGCTCTGGGTACCCGGCTCTGCATCGCGCCGCCATGATGGGCCATCGTCCCGTACTCGTGCTCAGTGAGTTCTGGGGATACCAGGAAAGGGATTCCCTTTTCACCCTTCTGTGTCCATGGTTTTCTGTGTTGCCTCAGCTCCGTCCCGCCCTGACCCGGCCCCTGAGCCTTCCAGTCATCATCTTCATTTTGGAAGCCCGGTGTCCCGCTTTCCTTTCTTCCCTTAACCTATTCGCTTCTCTTCACAAACTCAAACTGACCTTTTTCTCGCCGAGCCTCTTTTCTTGACGTGTGCTCGTCTTGGGAAGCTCTTCCCACTCCGCGTTCTGTCCCTCAGTCCCCACGCTTCCCCCGCCGCTGCACCCTTTCTAGCCTGATTGTCGCTATATAGCTGCATGAATAATGTTTTTTGTTTTTCAGTTAGGTCTAGCTTTATATCCTTGGCCCATCCCTTAGTAGCGGTCATTTAAATGTTTCAATCTGTGTTACGGAGTTAATAGTATTTCCTAGTAGAATTGTGAGAATTAAATGAGATAAGTGGGCAGACTGCTTGAAGAGGGTCTGGTGAATAGGTAATATCCTTGGTCACTTTACATTTATTTTCAGTAACAGTCACTTGAACAGCAACCCCTGTTCCAGAAGTAACCGTACTTGCTTCACTGATCGTAGATGTAATCGTTCCCTCCGTGTCCCCGGCGTTGTAATCTTTCCCACTCACCAGTTGGGTTTTCCCAGATTTCTCGACTGGTCATCTTTTCCCTTTGGAAGATCCCTTATTTTTTTTTCTTTCTGTTTTTTGAGACAGAGTCTCGCGGTGTCACCCAGTCTGGGGTGCAGTGGCGCGATCTCTGTTCACTGCATCCTCTGCCTCCCAGGTTCAAGCATTTCTCCTGCCTCAGCCTCCCGAGTAAGCTGCGAGTACAGGCGCGCGCCACCACGCCAGACTAATTTTTGTGTTTTTGGTAGAACTGGAGTTTCACCATGTGGGCCAGGCTGGTCTCCAACTCCTGAGCTCAGGTGATCCGCCCACCTCAGCCTCCCAAAGTGCTGGGATTACAGACGTGAGCCACCGCGCCTGGTCCCTTATTTCTTCTAATGAGCACCACCTCCATTGTCTTCCTTTGATATGTTTCCATTCTGTGTGTAACTTCTGTACCTCATCTGCAGAGCCTGACTAGCCATCTCTCCTCCCTTACCGTCTTCTGTATACTGAATGCCTTTCAGAGTTTTTATTCATTATCTCTGTACCTGGGAAATAACTTTTAAGGAAAAAAATAAAATAAAACTTCACGCTATTTTGGGGAAAAAAAGACAGGTTGGGCGCAGTGGCTCACGCCTGTAATCCCAGCACTTTGGGAGGCCGAGGCGGGCGGATCACAAGGTCAGGAGATTGAGACCATCTTGGCTAACTCAGTGAAACCCCGTCTCTACTAAAAAATACAAAAAATTAGCCGGGCGTGGTGGCGGGCGCCTGTAGTCCCAGCTACTCAGGAGGCTGAGGCAGGAGAATGGCGTGAACCCCGGAGGCGGAGCTTGCAGTGAACCGAGATCGCGCCACTGCACCCCAGCCTGGGCGACAGAGCGAGACTCCATCTCAAAAACAAACAAACAAAAAACCTTGTTTCTGATGGATTGTAGGTCCATGCGGGTTTTTGGTTACAGCTCCCTGAGATAGATGTAAATCCTAAGCATTGTGGGTGTTTTGGTTTGATGGGACTGGATTGAAAGATTAACAGACTTAAATTGTAAGGGAATGTAATTTAGAGAGAGGAAGGAAATAAACATTATGTTGGTTTGGTTGTAACCACTGGCTTGTCTCCACTGGGATGACCTGGGGGTGAGTGGTGTATTTGCAAAGCTCCTTTCAGATCTGCATTAATCTCTGGCATTAGTTGACTGTGACCAATTAGGCTCCCAGTTAAAGTATGTAGTCAGTTCTTAGTGGTGGTAAATGGGTTACTGAGGCCTTCTTATTACATCCAGTTATGAGGTGACTATATAATTTATCTTGCATACTGTTGAGTGTGTTCTAAACAGTATACTGTGGGGGCACTATCACTAATTATGTTGGACCTGTTAGAGTATGATCCCCCTATCCAAGCAGAAAATGTGAATCCCCAAACTCTTTCCCTGCTTACATAAAGCAATGAATGGTCATTTCTTAGGGTCACCAGCCCTTTGAGATAAATAGCTGTGGATCCTTTTTCTGGGGGAAAAAAAAAAAATTGCAGTATCTCTCATTTTCTCACATAATCTCAGGGAGTTCACTATCCCATTAAGGCCCATTCATGGATCTCAGGTTATGAATCCCTGCTGTAAATATATGAATATTTGGTTAGAAGATAAGTATTAACCAAGATTGCAAAGTTATTTCTTAATATATCAAGGCTTGAAATACAGAAGGAAGTAAACAGCCATAGGGACATATGTTTACAGTTTTTTGAGATATGGTTGACATATAATAAACTGCACTTATTTAAAGTGTAGAGTTTGATAAGCTTTGCTCTGTGGATACACCGTGAAACCTGCATTCTTATTTTTCGAAGACTGGGAAATAAATAGCTTGGGTACGATGGGGCAGTCCTGGGCTGTTAACTGTTGTGTTTTTATCTATTTTAGGCCAGAACACAAAGCGTGAATCTGGAAGAAAAGTTCAATCTGGAAACATCAATGCTGCCAAGGTCACAAATCTTTTAAGTGTTCATGGTAGTTTGTCTCCAGCTATCTTCCCTGGTATTTGGTCATAGCCGTGTGTCCTGTGCATCTAGACTTTATAGAGTGAGCAAATAGACAGAGGAAAAGTTGACCTCTTCTTTCAGAACATTTTCCTGATGATGGTGGGGGAAAGGAAGCCCTCCCCTTCCGAGTTAGGACTGATAATCTTCTCATATTGTACATTATTCTGTTGCTGTATATTGTTTTATAGTATTCTATTTGTGTTTGTCTCCCATACTAAACTGAGTTACTTGAACAGAAGTACTTTATTAATTCCCTTTTGTATTCCTAGTGCCCACCGTAGATCTTGAATAGATATTCGGTAAATGTCTTTTGAATGAAATAGTGAAGTAGCCTTATATCTGATTTAGGGTGGTGTAGAGGCCACTGTCATGGAAAGAAATACTAAGACGTGGACTTCTAGTAATAAGGACTGCTGGGAAACAGAAGCTCTGGGAGCCATTTCCCCCTTACTCTTGTGAAAAGTCATTTCTGTATCCATCCTGAAAGCATTCCCAAGGGGAGAAAAACAACAGAGCTAGCCACATGCTATATCTTTTTTTTTTTTTTCCTTTAGATGGAGTCTTGCTCTGTTGCCCAGGCTGGAGTGCAGTGGCTGGATCTCAGCTCACTGCAAGCTCCGCCTCCTGGGTTCACGCCATTCTCCTGCCTCAGCCTCCCGAGTAGCTGGGACTACAGGCGCCCGCCACCTCGCCCGGCTAGTTTTTTGTATTTTTTAGTAGAGACGGGGTTTCACTGAGTTAGCCAGGATGGTCTCGATCTCCTGACCTCGTGATCCGCCCGTCTCGGCCTCCCAAAGTGCTGGGATTACAGGCTTGAGCCACCGTGCCCGGCCGACAACATGCTATATCTAAAGTGGCATGCTGTGTCTAAAGTGATTGCTAACCATGCTTTAGGGGTGTCATTAAAAACACTGACTCTGGCTGGGCGCAGTGGCTCATGCCTGTAATCCTAACACTTTGGGAGGCCGAAGTGGGTGGATCACTTGGGCCCAGGAGTTTGAGACCAGCTTGAACAACATAATGAGACCCCATATCTAAAAATAAAATGAAATTAAAATAAAATAAAACACTGGCTCTGTGGGTTGTTCATACCGCTTTCCCCTATTACTCCAACATTCTCACACTGTCCTCTGATT